CCCTTTTGCAGTGATTGATCTGCTCCCTTTTGCAGTGGGTGACCTGCTCCCTTTTGCAGTGGGTGACCTGCCCCTTTTGCAGTGATTGATCTGCTCCCTTTTGCAGTGGGTGACCTGCCCCTTTTGCAGTGATTGATCTGCTCCCTTTTGCAGTGGGTGATCTGCTCCCTTTTGCGGTGGATGACCTGCTCCCTTTTGCAGTGGGTGACCTGCCCCTTTTGCATTGGGTGACCTGCTCCCTTTTACGAGCTAATTCGATTAAAAGATACAATAGATTGCGGACGCGGTGAACCTGATAAAAACACCGGAGAAACAGTTCTGGACAAGTCAGAGTGACTGGAAGCGATAACTCTTGTCTCTCTCTTTCTGTGTCTGTCCACAGATGCTGCCGAGTTTTTGCAGCGTTCCCAGGGTCCTAGTGCACGGCTGCTCCTCTACTTGTTGAGCCCGGGCTCGTTCGCTGGCACTGTCGCCCCAGAAATGGAAAGTCCGAGTGGGGCTGGATTCGGAGCTCACCCACCCCGGGGGAGGGGCGGTTCAGTGAGAGAGGGGCATTAAAGAGGGACCCACCTCCCCGCATTGCCAGAGGGTGGAATCAGAAGAAAGTAATGGATTTATCCAACACCAGCAGCACCCTGCAGTGGGGTAACAGGAGTTCGGGCCCGGGTGAGGGGCAACTACCCCAGGGAGGGGCGTCAGTCTTCAGTATCTTGGCACTGACGCTGCTGGCCGGCCTGGTGCTGGCCACGTTGCTGTGGAACGGCCTGGTGTTGCTCACCATCCTGAGGGTGCGGGCTTTTCACCGGGTTCCGCACAACCTGGTGGCTTCCATGGCGGTGTCGGACGTGCTGGTTGCGGCCCTGGTGATGCCGCTGAGCCTGGTGCACGAACTGCACGGTCGCCGCTGGCGCCTGGGCCGCCCACTGTGCCAGCTCTGGGTCAGTCTGGACGTGCTGTGCTGCACGGCCAGCATCTGGAACGTGACCGCCATCGCCCTGGACCGGTACTGGTCCATCAGCCGGCACCTCGAGTACACAGTGCAGGCGCGCCGCCGTCTCTCCAACCTCATGATAGGCCTGACCTGGGCTCTGTCCGCCATCATCTCCCTCTCGCCGCTATTCGGCTGGGGGGGCAACACCTACTCAGAGCGGGACGGCCGCTGCCAGGTCAGCCAGGAGCCCTCCTACACCATCTTCTCCACCTTTGGAGCTTTTTACCTGCCCCTCTGCGTGGTGCTGTTCGTCTACTGGAAGATCTACAAAGCTGCCAAGTTTCGCATCGGATCCCGCAAAGCCAACACCGTCAGCCCGATGCCCCAAGTGGTAGAGGTAACTCCCTCTGTTTCCCCCTCCCCCCCATCACCATTGGCACCAGCCTCACCATCTGGATTAGTTGTGGCAGGGTTAGGAGACACAGGTAGGCAACTCTGGATTGAGCCCAGGGACATGAGAGAAAAAGACAGAGGCATGTTTTCATAACAGTAAGGTCGGTGAAACAGCCCAAAGGAGAAAAATAGTACAGACAGAGAGAGAGGGAGAGAAAGAGAAAGAGACATTCCCCAGGATGAAAGAAGAAGGGACTCCTCAGGGAAAGTGAGTGAGAAAGACATCCCAGGAAGAGAGAGAGAGAGGCATCGCACAGAACGACAGAAAGAGACCAGAAGGACAGAGACCTCAGGGAGAGAGAGAGACCCCCAGGAAAGTGTTTGTGTGTGTGTGAGAGAGAAAGAGAGAGCGAGTGAGAGAGAAATGCCACAAAAAGAGAAAGAGACCAGAGGGGGCAGTGAGTGACCCGAGAAAGAGAGAGCAAGATATCCCACAGAAAGAGCAATATCCCAAGGAAAGTGTGTATGTGTGTGTGTGAGAGAGAGTAAGGTGCCATGGGAAAAGAGAGAAAGAGATTTGAGGGGGAGAGAGAGATCACAGGGAAAATGTGTACGTATGTGCGTGAGAGAGAAATATGGTCACGGAAATAGAAAGAAAGAGACCAGAAGGAGAGAGAGTGATTTCAGAAAGAGAGAGAGAGCAACCTCAAGGAAAGAGTGTGTGTGTGTGTGTGTGTGTGTGTGAGAGAGAGAGAGAGAGAGGGAAAGAGATAACGTGGAAAGAGAGAGAAAGACACTGGAGGGAAAGAGAGAGAACATCAGGGAAAGAGAGACAGAGCGAGAGAGATCTAGGGATATGGAGAGAGCCATTCCTGTGAAACAGCGAGGGATATCGTAGGGAAAGTGCGTGAGCAAGAGAAAAGACCCGAGGAAACATATGTGAGACAGAGAGAGAGAGACAGAGAGAGAGAGAGCAAAAGGACCCAGGGAAAGAAGGATAGGGAAAGAAGCATTTCAAGAGAAAGAGATAAATCCCAGGGAAAGAGAGAGATAAATCCCGGGGAAAGAGAGAGATGGAGGGGGGCAACATCAGAGATAAAATGACAAAGGAAGAGATGCGTACAAGATGGGCGGAATTGTCTCATTCTGCACTGTAACCATTTGATGATTCTGTGAAGAGGAAGATTTATTGTCAGACAGTACCAGCAGATTGGAAAGTGATATAGTGAGCAGGAGAGAGTGAGAATGCCCAGGAACAGTAACACCGCGAAAAGAAGGGAGAGACAAGGAAACAGTAGAGGGCAGAGACAACGCAGATGCATGGAGAGCAATTCCAAAAGAGCAAAAAAACCAATAGATAGAATGAAAGGGAAAAAAAACACAAGAAAATAGGGAGCATGATCATGGAGAAATAGAGAAAGAGAGAAAACTGGCAGGGAAAAAGCAAGAGAGCACAGGCAGGGAGAGGAAAACAGTTGGAATTAATGTTAAAATCATAGAATAAATCCAAAAGAGAACAAGCAGACAGCAGATAGAGGGAATCCTCAATATGAGGAGGGGGTAAGGGGGAGGGAAAAAGCAGTGATAAAGAAAGAGAAAGATAGAGAGAGAGTACCATAGCAGATCAAAACAGAAAACGAGAGAGAGAAAGAAAGAGAAGCAGTGAAGAGATTAAGAGAAAATGATTGGAGAGAGGATGAAGATGCAGGGAAAAAGTGCAGGAGATAATGTGAGAGGAAGGTGGGGAATGTGTGAGGGGAAGGGGAAAATGTGTGAGATGAAGAAAGGGACATGTGAGAGAAAGATGGGGATGTGTGAGGGGAAGGAGGATATATGTGAGGGAAAGGAAGGGATGTTTGAGGGGAATGGGGGAACATGTGAGGGGAAGGGGGAACATATGAAGGGAAGGGGGAATGTGTGAGGGGAAAGGGGAAAACATTTGAGGGGAAAGTGGGAACGTGTGAGGGGAAGGGGGTTAATGTGTGAGGGGAAGGGGGTTCATGTGTGAGGGAAGGGGGAAACGTGTGAGAGGAAGGGGAAAAGAAAGAAATGAGAGAATGTGTCAAATGTGATTTTGCAGCTAATCAAAGATTGGAAAAACAAAGGCATGGGTAGGTGATAAAATAAGAAAGAAACAGAGTGAAAAAGAATGGAAAGGGGAGAGAAAGGAGATAGTGGAAGGAATGCCATTACAATATTTCCTTGTCTTAACTTCTGTCCAGTTAAACTGCCGTCATGCCATGCTTTAATGACCAGCAACAATTGTGTGTTTAAAATGTGTGAAAGTGTATTGGAGACCTGCTACTCACAGGCATGTCCTCCCATCAGGTGAAAGAGGCGAGCCAGCAGCCTCAGATGGTGTTCACTGTGCGGCACGCCACTGTAACGTTCCAGACTGATGGTGATACCTGGCGGGAGCAGAAGGAGAAGAAAGCAGCGCTGATGGTCGGTATCCTCATCGGGGTCTTTGTGCTGTGCTGGATCCCATTCTTCATCACTGAACTCATCAACCCCCTGTGCTCATGTGACATTCCCCCGATCTGGAAAAGTATCTTTCTCTGGCTGGGCTACTCCAACTCCTTCTTCAACCCTCTGATTTACACTGCCTTCAACAAGAACTACAACAACGCCTTCAGAAACCTCTTCGCCAGGCAGAGGTAGTGCTTTGGCAAGGTGCTGTCGCAGCCTTCTGTCAAGTTTTAGTCAAGATTAAATGAACACACACACACACACACACACAAAGCGTGCATGGTCAATGTGAAAAAAAAAGCTGCAAAAATGCCTTGGAAATTAGAGGGTGGCGGAAGGGGAGCTTGCAGTGTCATGTAGCCAACCTATTTAGCAGCTCCGACACTGTTTCTTGTAAAACCCGAAACAGTATTTGTGGTTCTGAGCATTTCCAACAATGATTCCCTTGTAAAGTATCTGTACATATTGCAGTTATACACACATTGCCACCCAGCACACAGACTAGCAGGCCACATATCTGCTGTCACCGGCTCCACCATGTAACTGTGGGATTGACAATAAGGACTGACCAAAAATGAACGCTGTTGAACCTATTTTGTATTGAAATGCCGAGTCCGTCTGTCTTCATCCCAGTATCACCCAACGGTTTTTTCTCTCTCTCTCTTGCAATAGTAAAGATCCTCTTGAAAATGGTAATTTTGTTCATTGCCTGGCATAGTTCATATTTACTTTCCCTTTGGTCTAGAAATAGCACAGGAAAATGCACACGGCAGTGTTGGAAACAAAACAAGAGGGACAACAATCTAAAGTATTCATGATTGCAGCATACAGCCCCCAAAGCTGGCTAGCTGACTATTTGGCCCATTGTCACTGTGCTGGCCCTTTTATTCAACCTGCTATTTTCCCCTGTACATATTGCAGTTGTACACACATTGCCACCCAGCGCACAGACTAGCAGGCCATATATCTGCTGTCACCGGCTCCACCACGTAACTGTGGGATTGACAATAAGTACTGACCAAAAACGAACGCTGTCAAACCAGTTTTGTATTGAAATGCCGAGTCCGTCTGTCTTCATCCCAGTATCACCCAAGGGTTTTTTTTTGTCTTTTTATTTGTCTTTTCTTAGGCATTAGCCTATTCACAGGACCTGCTTTGTTTTCTCCTAAACCAAAGGAAGGGAGAGATGTGAACCAAGCAAATTTTGAAAAGGCAGATCGTCCATTGGAGTCCTGGACCTTGCTCATATGATGTGTAGCTCTGCTGAAGCATTGCTATTTTAAATATTCTCATCACTCTCCTTTTTGGAGTGAACAGGTGTATGGAAAAGCTCAATGGTCCAGGTCTAACCATTTTCAGTACTGGACTAAGATTAGTTGAAGCACTGCATGACTGCTGTACAGTCAGATCTACCAGCTTGGCTTATTGAAAGGCAATGAAGCAATCTGTGAGGTTTATGTAACCGGCATTATTCGGACTGTCACATCCAAGGAATCTCATTAAATTAGAATGGTTTGGCGGTGGGAAGGGTGTAGCTTGTCAAAACCCAGGAGGACTATATAGATTACAAGGGTGCATGAATGAACGTCCAACACCAGCAAATAATTGGCAAATGAAGTGCAATGCCAACAAATGCAAGGTTATACATTTCTGGAGGATGGATAGGGCGTCACATCCCTTGGAAAGTGCAAGTCTAAATGGAGGAATGGAACTGATGGATTTCAGAGTACGAATATATCAGTCACTAAATGTTGCACCAGAACTTAGCAAAGCAAACCAAATGCTAAGATCTATTTGTAAGGAGTTAGAATTGAAAGTAAGGAAATTAGGCTAAACCTGTCTCAAACCTCAAATAGACCCAGAGTACTGACTGCAGTTCTTGTCTGAATGTTACAAAAAGGGATATTGAGGCACTAGAGAAGATGCAGAGAAGATTTACAAAAATAATATCAGAAATACATGGGTGCATACATCAAGAAAGGAATGACACACTGCAGTCTCTTTTCTCCTGTGGGCAAAAAGGGAAAGATGAGAGGTAACCTAACAGACGACCCCTTGAAATCATGTAAAGTTTTGATAGTGTGTAGATAGAAAAGGAGGAAATTGGCACTAAGTAATAGAACTGATGCAGGCATGATGGGCTGAATGGCCTCCTGTGCCTTACCAATTCTGTGCTACTGTGAGAGAGACTTATTTGTCTTCTGGGAAAGTATCAGAGGTAATCCGTAGAAGATAGTTACCAAGACTTCCGATAGGAAAACGTCTTTACCCAAAGAACATGGAACTCACTACCACAGGGAATGGTTGAAGCAAAAGGGTTTAATGCATTTAAGGTAAAGCTATACATGCGTGTAAAGGAGAAGAGATGAGATAACTGTGATGATAGATTTAGATGAGGAAACATATAAGGAGGCTAGAATGGACCATAAATACTGGCATGGACTGAATGGTCTGTGACTGTGCTATGTCTCATATGTAATTCAACCTTAAAAATTCTTGGTTTGGAGGTGTTGGCTGAAATCTTTTGTATTACCAGCATTTCAGACTTTTATTTCAGATTTTTGGTATACTTTCAGAGTGTCTATGGACAGTTAAATCTGCAGTGCCAACCAGATATTTTCAAGGGTCTTGAGGCTTACACAGTGCTGTTATTAATCGGACTTTGTTTCAGAAAGTCAAAAAAGACTTGTAGCAAGTCTATAGGTCAAAAGACGTGCTTTCAAATCAAATGATGCCTTTCAAATCAAGTTGAATCATTGCCGGGTTACAGAGTGATGCAATCTATCTCTAGCCGAGATTGGTTGTATTTTGTGAATAGCAGACTGTCTTATTGTGAGGCATATCTAAGCAGGTTGGCATTCACTGGCGAAAGAGAGGAGATGAAGGGAGTTTTGTTACTTACAGTCCATTGTTATCGTCTGGAATTCACTGGGAACTGTGAGAAGCAGGTTCAGACATGCCTTCAGAAGGAGAATTGGATAAATTCTCGAAGGAGAGAAGTTTGCAGAGCTATGGAGAAGGAGGGGAATGGGTTTAATTGGAAACTGTTTCAAAGAATGGGCACAGGCATGCTGGACTGAATGACCTGTCTCTGTGAGGCAGCAACATGAAGTTGCATCAGTTTAAAGCACTGAACAGACCATTTGCCCAACTGGTCTGTGTCAGCATTTATCCACATCAGCCTATCATTCTTTGATTCTAGACAGGAAAACAGAAAAATTCAGCAGGTCTGGCAGTATCTGTAGAGAGAAGTCAAGAGTTAACGTTTCGGGACGAGTGACCCTTCCTCAGTTCTGTGTTTCTGCATGTGCAGTTCTTTCAGTCTTTATTCTTTGATTCTAATTCAGAGCAGATCGTAGCCACACAATTCCCAGGGATGCTGCTCACCAGTTTGCAATTTACTTTTTAATTGGATAGGAGACATAGACTTTGATCAGCACCAGCAGTGTCCATCCTTCTAGTGGGAGAGGTTACATTTCAGGCTTTATTGCATGGGTTGGTGGGACAAGTGAGCAGGTTCTGGAAATGAATGATAATACACAGATGGAAATTTACCTTGATGTTGTTTAAAACAACAAAAGAATGTGCATTTTGATGCACTTAAGCATTTCTGTAAGGGTTAGCCAATGTGGGACAATAAAGTTTCCAATCCTCCCCCACACCATATGGAAGAGATAGCCGCACTCTCACAGCTTCTCTCTCCCTGCTGCCCTTCCTTTCCCACTGCAGTTTTTTTTTTACCCCATAAGCTCTTTCCCACATCCTGTTAGCTTCTCTCTCTCAAGGTTGCTCTCTCCTCGCCACGCCTAATGCCCCATTCTTAAAAAACAAGGAACATTGGAAGTAGGAGCAAGCATACAGCATTCGGCCCCTTCAGTCTGTACTGCCATTCAATCATATTAGGGTTGATATGGTTGTCATTTCAACTCTGCCCTCCTCTCCCACGTGGTAACTTATGACTCTCTTTTCTGTCAAGCATCTGTCTTACGGAGCTTTGAATATATTCAATGACCTACTTTCTGAAGAGAATCCCAGATCACCACCTTAGATTGACATATCAACTGGATTAAATTGGAATTTGCAGCTTTCAGTCACTACTTGAGAAAAATATGGACCCCATCACAATTACAACTGTTTACTAGAAAGACAGAACTATGCAAGCGTTAGATTTTTGCATTAGCCTTTCGATCATTGTGTTAAAGACTCAAATTTACAACCACAATGAGAAATGTGATGTGTCAGGCTGTGTAGATATTTCTGAGTTTGGATATTTTGTTTGAATGGTTATGTAGATATTTTAATGTACAATTTTATCAAAATGTTGGATTTATCACATTTTTCAGACACCGTACAGTGGCAACAGTAACCAAACTGTTGCTCTTTTTCCAGAGAATTCTTTCCTTCCCCTCATGCAAGCTTCCAACAGTTGATCTGTGCAGGTTATACCTAAAGTCATTTTTTGAACAAAATAGCATGTTCTAAGAAAGATCGAATTTTTAAATTGCATAGGGTATTAATGCTTGTTATTCCATAAGATTATCCGTACCTCAGGTATTCAGGCAGTATCAATACACTGTGCTTGTTGACATTTGAAACTGCTTGCCAAGAAATAGCAGACTTTCTAGAAAGATGAGCATTTGTGGATTTTTGGACACTGCATTTTGTCAGTGAGCTTAACACTGAAAGGAGAATGATTTGAACTAGTTTGCCAAATGGACCTGCCCTTGCTTTGAACTCCTGGCATTGCCAAATTTGGGCCAGTTGCCTGGTTCAAATATACAGTTAAAAAGCAGAGCTGAGATGTTTGGCTTTATATGTTGAACAGTGTAAGAAGAAATCATGATGTCTGGGTTTTTCAAGTAGCAGGTGTGGTCCATTTTACCAGCTTGCGATTTAATTAACTAAATTAACGTTAGCTTTGCAAAGATCGAAAATAGTAAGCTTAAAATGATTTCTTTTGCGTTAGGATAAGTGTTCATGCAAACTTGCAGATATAATGTGGCTCATTATTAGTCTGTTGAACCACCCCCAGCCCTTACTCATGGTTAGCCCTCCTCCCAGATCTTTGCCACCAGTTCAAAGTCAATGATTGGCAATTAGGCTCTCCCTTACCAGGTACAGCTGGCTGGGCTTCTTTGTCACTCAATAGTTAAAATCTACTAGAATAGGTTTAAAAAAAGACTGCAGGGTGCCCTTCACATTACACCCGCCTTTCCCCTCCCTCCTAACAACCCAATCTCATTCTGTCTCTCCTTGCCTTCAACTTCTGCCACTACTCAAGCTGTGCCTGGTGCCTGCCCAAGTCTCAGACTGGTTCTGTCCCATGTATGCTGCTCGTAGACTCACTAACGCTCGTGGAAAACAGCCTGTGATTGGAAGAGCAGCTCCAACAGAAGCTCTTCCACCTCTTTGGGAAACAAAATATTTATAATCAACCTGTTTGGGTATTTTGGGGCATACTCTTTGTGCATTAGCGTATTTTGGAAACTGGTTAGCATGCGTTTGGTAGAATGGATAGAAGTCTTTGGTGGGGTAGATGTTGGACCATGTGCTGCATGTTGGACAACCTAGATCTAGACTCTTTGTGTCCTCTTCCTTTACCGTTGATGACTTCTTGTGACGGCACCAACCTTGATCCCTTTGTTAGAAAGCTATTGT